GGACTTCACAACTGAGTTTCACTGTCCTTGATATGATATTTTTCAGTTCCAATTTACAAGCTGCATTGTTAAGATTGCATGAGACTTGAACACTTTTGCCCTTTCCTTTTTCCTCTTTCCTCTCTCCTCTTTCCTCTCTGAAAGAGGAGTCATAATCAATAAAGTTGATAGCCTGGATACGCGAAATAGTTGTCATAAATTTTTGAAATGAAAATAGTGCCCAAGATGACCGCATATACCTTTTCATATCTCTTTGAAACTCGCTGGTATTTTCCTGCTCAATACCACACATTCCCATCTTCCTGCTCAATACCACACATTCCCATCCTCCTTACCTGTGGCATCAATTTTCTTGTCTCTACTCATATCCCAAGATTTCTTGTTTTCAAATTTCCTGCATGTTGCTCTCTTAATGTATTTCTAAATTGGATTATTGTTGTTGATGATGCTTGCAATGTTTTTTTTTCCCTTTTTGGCTTTGTGTAGTTGACCTCGTGAAAGTCAGAGGTGCTGCCCCCAATCTCGAGCAGCCCCAGCCAGACGATAGATTTTGAGATTTGGTTTCAGAAGGAATTGGAAAGGGAGAAGCAGCTTGAAGAGCGGTGTGAGGAAGAGTTCCAAACCTGGTTTCTTCAGGAGCTGTTGAAAGAGGAGATGTTGAAAGAGCAGCTGTTGAAAGAGCAGAATCTCTTGAAAGAGATTAAGACTGGGAGCGAGAATCCAGTCAACGAAAAGCCGAAGCCGTTCAAGTGCTTGTTTAAGAATTGCGGTGAAGCGAAAGAGTCACACCATCAACTATTGAGTAGTAATAGGGGACGGTGAATAGCTATTGAGTTTTTTTATTTGTTTTTATCTTTTTCAAAATTCAAAATCGAAAGCCCAATGATATTGCGCTTGGAGCTGGGAGTTATAATATTGGGCCTAAGTGTACGTTATCTTCTTCTACCCGGCCCATGGATTTCAATCGGTGAAATCTATTACAATTTTAAGTCTTTCACTAATATCCGTTTAATTTCTTGTTCTTCAAGCTGTTCTCAAGAGCTCCTCCTCTGAATGGCGATGAATTCTGGTAACTTTATTTCAGGATCTTCATCTTTCATCTTTCTTTTTGCCAGATATTATCTATTTAAACTCCTTCTTTCTTGTAGGAGGCAACATGAAAATGACTGCCGTGCGCTACCCGAATCCAGGTGTGCATTTGTTTCTCATACCCTAAGTTTATCTTAACCTTCTTTTACCTTTTGTTTATTTTGTTTTTGTTTTTGTAGCCTTGAACCAAAGAGCAGCACTCCCTCTATTTACGGGGCCAACTTCACTTTCCCTGCTACTCTTGGTATTTTTTTTTCATGTTTTTAATTTGTTTTTCATTTTCTTGATATTTTTCCTTGATTTGTTGATTTTCTCATGTTTTGATCTGAAGTTTGGTTGAGTTTCTGTATATGGTGATTGTTTTGTGTCTATTGGGATATTAAGTCATATGCCGTGGAATTGATGGGCCTGTTGCTCTTATTTATTTTTTTGTTATCGTATTGTTTATGGACACTTGTGTGGTTGGGTTATCCTCCAGATTTTGCAAGCTGTTTGATTATCAATACTATGTGAGTTTGTATTGTTGCTGCTATGGGAGTACACATTGTTTAAAATAGCTTCATTAGGAAACATATTTTTTTTAAATTTTTTATTTTATTTGGCTTATTTCTGTTCTGTATTTATGATTTTATTTCTCATTTTCTTGGTATTTATTGGATTTTCTGCAATAATTTTTGTAGGCTTAACTATGAGAGCTGTCCCAGGTCCTACTTTTGTCTCTCGAACTAGTGGTATAATTTTTTTTTTTCAATTTTTTTAATTCTTTTTGTGCTGTTAGGAGTACATGGTTGTGGAAATTAGTGTTACAACTAGAAGTTTCACCATATCTGTTTGAATGTGCAACAATCCAAATCACTTTTATATATTGAAGAAAAGAGAGATTGAAGATGCATTAGCATATTGATTAACCATTATGTGGAAATATAGAATATGTGAATGCTTACTATGCTCATACAGAGAAACATGTGTGATATATGATCTGGGAAAAATGTAACTAGCTTGGCTTGGCTTGGCTCGAGTATTTTGGAGAACAGCCAATTGGAACAAGTACAGTTCATTTTAGGGCTACACTTCAGTTTGATAAGAAATACATTAAATGGTGATTAGACCAGGTTTATGTGGAAGTCGATACTGTTTTATTATATGGGGTTTTGGTCAACATAGAGTTGTTGGGATCTATTTCAACTGCATTCTTGCTTTATATCTTTCTCTACCAGATCAATATATGCTTGTGCCCTTCTGTACCTGTAAATTTCTAGGACTTCACAACTGAGTTTCACTGTCCTTGATATGATATTTTTCAGTTCCAATTTACAAGCTGCATTGTTAAGATTGCATGAGACTTGAACACTTTTGCCCTTTCCTTTTTCCTCTTTCCTCTCTCCTCTTTCCTCTCTGAAAGAGGAGTCATAATCAATAAAGTTGATAGCCTGGATACGCGAAATAGTTGTCATAAATTTTTGAAATGAAAATAGTGCCCAAGATGACCGCATATACCTTTTCATATCTCTTTGAAACTCGCTGGTATTTTCCTGCTCAATACCACACATTCCCATCTTCCTGCTCAATACCACACATTCCCATCCTCCTTACCTGTGGCATCAATTTTCTTGTCTCTACTCATATCCCAAGATTTCTTGTTTTCAAATTTCCTGCATGTTGCTCTCTTAATGTATTTCTAAATTGGATTATTGTTGTTGATGATGCTTGCAATGTTTTTTTTTCCCTTTTTGGCTTTGTGTAGTTGACCTCGTGAAAGTCAGAGGTGCTGCCCCCAATCTCGAGCAGCCCCAGCCAGACGATAGATTTTGAGATTTGGTTTCAGAAGGAATTGGAAAGGGAGAAGCAGCTTGAAGAGCGGTGTGAGGAAGAGTTCCAAACCTGGTTTCTTCAGGAGCTGTTGAAAGAGGAGATGTTGAAAGAGCAGCTGTTGAAAGAGCAGAATCTCTTGAAAGAGATTAAGACTGGGAGCGAGAATCCAGTCAACGAAAAGCCGAAGCCGTTCAAGTGCTTGTTTAAGAATTGCGGTGAAGCGAAAGAGTCACACCATCAACTATTGAGTAGTAATAGGGGACGGTGAATAGCTATTGAGTTTTTTTATTTGTTTTTATCTTTTTCAAAATTCAAAATCGAAAGCCCAATGATATTGCGCTTGGAGCTGGGAGTTATAATATTGGGCCTAAGTGTACGTTATCTTCTTCTACCCGGCCCATGGATTTCAATCGGTGAAATCTATTACAATTTTAAGTCTTTCACTAATATCCGTTTAATTTCTTGTTCTTCAAGCTGTTCTCAAGAGCTCCTCCTCTGAATGGCGATGAATTCTGGTAACTTTATTTCAGGATCTTCATCTTTCATCTTTCTTTTTGCCAGATATTATCTATTTAAACTCCTTCTTTCTTGTAGGAGGCAACATGAAAATGACTGCCGTGCGCTACCCGAATCCAGGTGTGCATTTGTTTCTCATACCCTAAGTTTATCTTAACCTTCTTTTACCTTTTGTTTATTTTGTTTTTGTTTTTGTAGCCTTGAACCAAAGAGCAGCACTCCCTCTATTTACGGGGCCAACTTCACTTTCCCTGCTACTCTTGGTATTTTTTTTTCATGTTTTTAATTTGTTTTTCATTTTCTTGATATTTTTCCTTGATTTGTTGATTTTCTCATGTTTTGATCTGAAGTTTGGTTGAGTTTCTGTATATGGTGATTGTTTTGTGTCTATTGGGATATTAAGTCATATGCCGTGGAATTGATGGGCCTGTTGCTCTTATTTATTTTTTTGTTATCGTATTGTTTATGGACACTTGTGTGGTTGGGTTATCCTCCAGATTTTGCAAGCTGTTTGATTATCAATACTATGTGAGTTTGTATTGTTGCTGCTATGGGAGTACACATTGTTTAAAATAGCTTCATTAGGAAACATATTTTTTTTAAATTTTTTATTTTATTTGGCTTATTTCTGTTCTGTATTTATGATTTTATTTCTCATTTTCTTGGTATTTATTGGATTTTCTGCAATAATTTTTGTAGGCTTAACTATGAGAGCTGTCCCAGGTCCTACTTTTGTCTCTCGAACTAGTGGTATAATTTTTTTTTTTCAATTTTTTTAATTCTTTTTGTGCTGTTAGGAGTACATGGTTGTGGAAATTAGTGTTACAACTAGAAGTTTCACCATATCTGTTTGAATGTGCAACAATCCAAATCACTTTTATATATTGAAGAAAAGAGAGATTGAAGATGCATTAGCATATTGATTAACCATTATGTGGAAATATAGAATATGTGAATGCTTACTATGCTCATACAGAGAAACATGTGTGATATATGATCTGGGAAAAATGTAACTAGCTTGGCTTGGCTTGGCTCGAGTATTTTGGAGAACAGCCAATTGGAACAAGTACAGTTCATTTTAGGGCTACACTTCAGTTTGATAAGAAATACATTAAATGGTGATTAGACCAGGTTTATGTGGAAGTCGATACTGTTTTATTATATGGGGTTTTGGTCAACATAGAGTTGTTGGGATCTATTTCAACTGCATTCTTGCTTTATATCTTTCTCTACCAGATCAATATATGCTTGTGCCCTTCTGTACCTGTAAATTTCTAGGACTTCACAACTGAGTTTCACTGTCCTTGATATGATATTTTTCAGTTCCAATTTACAAGCTGCATTGTTAAGATTGCATGAGACTTGAACACTTTTGCCCTTTCCTTTTTCCTCTTTCCTCTCTCCTCTTTCCTCTCTGAAAGAGGAGTCATAATCAATAAAGTTGATAGCCTGGATACGCGAAATAGTTGTCATAAATTTTTGAAATGAAAATAGTGCCCAAGATGACCGCATATACCTTTTCATATCTCTTTGAAACTCGCTGGTATTTTCCTGCTCAATACCACACATTCCCATCTTCCTGCTCAATACCACACATTCCCATCCTCCTTACCTGTGGCATCAATTTTCTTGTCTCTACTCATATCCCAAGATTTCTTGTTTTCAAATTTCCTGCATGTTGCTCTCTTAATGTATTTCTAAATTGGATTATTGTTGTTGATGATGCTTGCAATGTTTTTTTTTCCCTTTTTGGCTTTGTGTAGTTGACCTCGTGAAAGTCAGAGGTGCTGCCCCCAATCTCGAGCAGCCCCAGCCAGACGATAGATTTTGAGATTTGGTTTCAGAAGGAATTGGAAAGGGAGAAGCAGCTTGAAGAGCGGTGTGAGGAAGAGTTCCAAACCTGGTTTCTTCAGGAGCTGTTGAAAGAGGAGATGTTGAAAGAGCAGCTGTTGAAAGAGCAGAATCTCTTGAAAGAGATTAAGACTGGGAGCGAGAATCCAGTCAACGAAAAGCCGAAGCCGTTCAAGTGCTTGTTTAAGAATTGCGGTGAAGCGAAAGAGTCACACCATCAACTATTGAGTAGTAATAGGGGACGGTGAATAGCTATTGAGTTTTTTTATTTGTTTTTATCTTTTTCAAAATTCAAAATCGAAAGCCCAATGATATTGCGCTTGGAGCTGGGAGTTATAATATTGGGCCTAAGTGTACGTTATCTTCTTCTACCCGGCCCATGGATTTCAATCGGTGAAATCTATTACAATTTTAAGTCTTTCACTAATATCCGTTTAATTTCTTGTTCTTCAAGCTGTTCTCAAGAGCTCCTCCTCTGAATGGCGATGAATTCTGGTAACTTTATTTCAGGATCTTCATCTTTCATCTTTCTTTTTGCCAGATATTATCTATTTAAACTCCTTCTTTCTTGTAGGAGGCAACATGAAAATGACTGCCGTGCGCTACCCGAATCCAGGTGTGCATTTGTTTCTCATACCCTAAGTTTATCTTAACCTTCTTTTACCTTTTGTTTATTTTGTTTTTGTTTTTGTAGCCTTGAACCAAAGAGCAGCACTCCCTCTATTTACGGGGCCAACTTCACTTTCCCTGCTACTCTTGGTATTTTTTTTTCATGTTTTTAATTTGTTTTTCATTTTCTTGATATTTTTCCTTGATTTGTTGATTTTCTCATGTTTTGATCTGAAGTTTGGTTGAGTTTCTGTATATGGTGATTGTTTTGTGTCTATTGGGATATTAAGTCATATGCCGTGGAATTGATGGGCCTGTTGCTCTTATTTATTTTTTTGTTATCGTATTGTTTATGGACACTTGTGTGGTTGGGTTATCCTCCAGATTTTGCAAGCTGTTTGATTATCAATACTATGTGAGTTTGTATTGTTGCTGCTATGGGAGTACACATTGTTTAAAATAGCTTCATTAGGAAACATATTTTTTTTAAATTTTTTATTTTATTTGGCTTATTTCTGTTCTGTATTTATGATTTTATTTCTCATTTTCTTGGTATTTATTGGATTTTCTGCAATAATTTTTGTAGGCTTAACTATGAGAGCTGTCCCAGGTCCTACTTTTGTCTCTCGAACTAGTGGTATAATTTTTTTTTTTCAATTTTTTTAATTCTTTTTGTGCTGTTAGGAGTACATGGTTGTGGAAATTAGTGTTACAACTAGAAGTTTCACCATATCTGTTTGAATGTGCAACAATCCAAATCACTTTTATATATTGAAGAAAAGAGAGATTGAAGATGCATTAGCATATTGATTAACCATTATGTGGAAATATAGAATATGTGAATGCTTACTATGCTCATACAGAGAAACATGTGTGATATATGATCTGGGAAAAATGTAACTAGCTTGGCTTGGCTTGGCTCGAGTATTTTGGAGAACAGCCAATTGGAACAAGTACAGTTCATTTTAGGGCTACACTTCAGTTTGATAAGAAATACATTAAATGGTGATTAGACCAGGTTTATGTGGAAGTCGATACTGTTTTATTATATGGGGTTTTGGTCAACATAGAGTTGTTGGGATCTATTTCAACTGCATTCTTGCTTTATATCTTTCTCTACCAGATCAATATATGCTTGTGCCCTTCTGTACCTGTAAATTTCTAGGACTTCACAACTGAGTTTCACTGTCCTTGATATGATATTTTTCAGTTCCAATTTACAAGCTGCATTGTTAAGATTGCATGAGACTTGAACACTTTTGCCCTTTCCTTTTTCCTCTTTCCTCTCTCCTCTTTCCTCTCTGAAAGAGGAGTCATAATCAATAAAGTTGATAGCCTGGATACGCGAAATAGTTGTCATAAATTTTTGAAATGAAAATAGTGCCCAAGATGACCGCATATACCTTTTCATATCTCTTTGAAACTCGCTGGTATTTTCCTGCTCAATACCACACATTCCCATCTTCCTGCTCAATACCACACATTCCCATCCTCCTTACCTGTGGCATCAATTTTCTTGTCTCTACTCATATCCCAAGATTTCTTGTTTTCAAATTTCCTGCATGTTGCTCTCTTAATGTATTTCTAAATTGGATTATTGTTGTTGATGATGCTTGCAATGTTTTTTTTTCCCTTTTTGGCTTTGTGTAGTTGACCTCGTGAAAGTCAGAGGTGCTGCCCCCAATCTCGAGCAGCCCCAGCCAGACGATAGATTTTGAGATTTGGTTTCAGAAGGAATTGGAAAGGGAGAAGCAGCTTGAAGAGCGGTGTGAGGAAGAGTTCCAAACCTGGTTTCTTCAGGAGCTGTTGAAAGAGGAGATGTTGAAAGAGCAGCTGTTGAAAGAGCAGAATCTCTTGAAAGAGATTAAGACTGGGAGCGAGAATCCAGTCAACGAAAAGCCGAAGCCGTTCAAGTGCTTGTTTAAGAATTGCGGTGAAGCGAAAGAGTCACACCATCAACTATTGAGTAGTAATAGGGGACGGTGAATAGCTATTGAGTTTTTTTATTTGTTTTTATCTTTTTCAAAATTCAAAATCGAAAGCCCAATGATATTGCGCTTGGAGCTGGGAGTTATAATATTGGGCCTAAGTGTACGTTATCTTCTTCTACCCGGCCCATGGATTTCAATCGGTGAAATCTATTACAATTTTAAGTCTTTCACTAATATCCGTTTAATTTCTTGTTCTTCAAGCTGTTCTCAAGAGCTCCTCCTCTGAATGGCGATGAATTCTGGTAACTTTATTTCAGGATCTTCATCTTTCATCTTTCTTTTTGCCAGATATTATCTATTTAAACTCCTTCTTTCTTGTAGGAGGCAACATGAAAATGACTGCCGTGCGCTACCCGAATCCAGGTGTGCATTTGTTTCTCATACCCTAAGTTTATCTTAACCTTCTTTTACCTTTTGTTTATTTTGTTTTTGTTTTTGTAGCCTTGAACCAAAGAGCAGCACTCCCTCTATTTACGGGGCCAACTTCACTTTCCCTGCTACTCTTGGTATTTTTTTTTCATGTTTTTAATTTGTTTTTCATTTTCTTGATATTTTTCCTTGATTTGTTGATTTTCTCATGTTTTGATCTGAAGTTTGGTTGAGTTTCTGTATATGGTGATTGTTTTGTGTCTATTGGGATATTAAGTCATATGCCGTGGAATTGATGGGCCTGTTGCTCTTATTTATTTTTTTGTTATCGTATTGTTTATGGACACTTGTGTGGTTGGGTTATCCTCCAGATTTTGCAAGCTGTTTGATTATCAATACTATGTGAGTTTGTATTGTTGCTGCTATGGGAGTACACATTGTTTAAAATAGCTTCATTAGGAAACATATTTTTTTTAAATTTTTTATTTTATTTGGCTTATTTCTGTTCTGTATTTATGATTTTATTTCTCATTTTCTTGGTATTTATTGGATTTTCTGCAATAATTTTTGTAGGCTTAACTATGAGAGCTGTCCCAGGTCCTACTTTTGTCTCTCGAACTAGTGGTATAATTTTTTTTTTTCAATTTTTTTAATTCTTTTTGTGCTGTTAGGAGTACATGGTTGTGGAAATTAGTGTTACAACTAGAAGTTTCACCATATCTGTTTGAATGTGCAACAATCCAAATCACTTTTATATATTGAAGAAAAGAGAGATTGAAGATGCATTAGCATATTGATTAACCATTATGTGGAAATATAGAATATGTGAATGCTTACTATGCTCATACAGAGAAACATGTGTGATATATGATCTGGGAAAAATGTAACTAGCTTGGCTTGGCTTGGCTCGAGTATTTTGGAGAACAGCCAATTGGAACAAGTACAGTTCATTTTAGGGCTACACTTCAGTTTGATAAGAAATACATTAAATGGTGATTAGACCAGGTTTATGTGGAAGTCGATACTGTTTTATTATATGGGGTTTTGGTCAACATAGAGTTGTTGGGATCTATTTCAACTGCATTCTTGCTTTATATCTTTCTCTACCAGATCAATATATGCTTGTGCCCTTCTGTACCTGTAAATTTCTAGGACTTCACAACTGAGTTTCACTGTCCTTGATATGATATTTTTCAGTTCCAATTTACAAGCTGCATTGTTAAGATTGCATGAGACTTGAACACTTTTGCCCTTTCCTTTTTCCTCTTTCCTCTCTCCTCTTTCCTCTCTGAAAGAGGAGTCATAATCAATAAAGTTGATAGCCTGGATACGCGAAATAGTTGTCATAAATTTTTGAAATGAAAATAGTGCCCAAGATGACCGCATATACCTTTTCATATCTCTTTGAAACTCGCTGGTATTTTCCTGCTCAATACCACACATTCCCATCTTCCTGCTCAATACCACACATTCCCATCCTCCTTACCTGTGGCATCAATTTTCTTGTCTCTACTCATATCCCAAGATTTCTTGTTTTCAAATTTCCTGCATGTTGCTCTCTTAATGTATTTCTAAATTGGATTATTGTTGTTGATGATGCTTGCAATGTTTTTTTTTCCCTTTTTGGCTTTGTGTAGTTGACCTCGTGAAAGTCAGAGGTGCTGCCCCCAATCTCGAGCAGCCCCAGCCAGACGATAGATTTTGAGATTTGGTTTCAGAAGGAATTGGAAAGGGAGAAGCAGCTTGAAGAGCGGTGTGAGGAAGAGTTCCAAACCTGGTTTCTTCAGGAGCTGTTGAAAGAGGAGATGTTGAAAGAGCAGCTGTTGAAAGAGCAGAATCTCTTGAAAGAGATTAAGACTGGGAGCGAGAATCCAGTCAACGAAAAGCCGAAGCCGTTCAAGTGCTTGTTTAAGAATTGCGGTGAAGCGAAAGAGTCACACCATCAACTATTGAGTAGTAATAGGGGACGGTGAATAGCTATTGAGTTTTTTTATTTGTTTTTATCTTTTTCAAAATTCAAAATCGAAAGCCCAATGATATTGCGCTTGGAGCTGGGAGTTATAATATTGGGCCTAAGTGTACGTTATCTTCTTCTACCCGGCCCATGGATTTCAATCGGTGAAATCTATTACAATTTTAAGTCTTTCACTAATATCCGTTTAATTTCTTGTTCTTCAAGCTGTTCTCAAGAGCTCCTCCTCTGAATGGCGATGAATTCTGGTAACTTTATTTCAGGATCTTCATCTTTCATCTTTCTTTTTGCCAGATATTATCTATTTAAACTCCTTCTTTCTTGTAGGAGGCAACATGAAAATGACTGCCGTGCGCTACCCGAATCCAGGTGTGCATTTGTTTCTCATACCCTAAGTTTATCTTAACCTTCTTTTACCTTTTGTTTATTTTGTTTTTGTTTTTGTAGCCTTGAACCAAAGAGCAGCACTCCCTCTATTTACGGGGCCAACTTCACTTTCCCTGCTACTCTTGGTATTTTTTTTTCATGTTTTTAATTTGTTTTTCATTTTCTTGATATTTTTCCTTGATTTGTTGATTTTCTCATGTTTTGATCTGAAGTTTGGTTGAGTTTCTGTATATGGTGATTGTTTTGTGTCTATTGGGATATTAAGTCATATGCCGTGGAATTGATGGGCCTGTTGCTCTTATTTATTTTTTTGTTATCGTATTGTTTATGGACACTTGTGTGGTTGGGTTATCCTCCAGATTTTGCAAGCTGTTTGATTATCAATACTATGTGAGTTTGTATTGTTGCTGCTATGGGAGTACACATTGTTTAAAATAGCTTCATTAGGAAACATATTTTTTTTAAATTTTTTATTTTATTTGGCTTATTTCTGTTCTGTATTTATGATTTTATTTCTCATTTTCTTGGTATTTATTGGATTTTCTGCAATAATTTTTGTAGGCTTAACTATGAGAGCTGTCCCAGGTCCTACTTTTGTCTCTCGAACTAGTGGTATAATTTTTTTTTTTCAATTTTTTTAATTCTTTTTGTGCTGTTAGGAGTACATGGTTGTGGAAATTAGTGTTACAACTAGAAGTTTCACCATATCTGTTTGAATGTGCAACAATCCAAATCACTTTTATATATTGAAGAAAAGAGAGATTGAAGATGCATTAGCATATTGATTAACCATTATGTGGAAATATAGAATATGTGAATGCTTACTATGCTCATACAGAGAAACATGTGTGATATATGATCTGGGAAAAATGTAACTAGCTTGGCTTGGCTTGGCTCGAGTATTTTGGAGAACAGCCAATTGGAACAAGTACAGTTCATTTTAGGGCTACACTTCAGTTTGATAAGAAATACATTAAATGGTGATTAGACCAGGTTTATGTGGAAGTCGATACTGTTTTATTATATGGGGTTTTGGTCAACATAGAGTTGTTGGGATCTATTTCAACTGCATTCTTGCTTTATATCTTTCTCTACCAGATCAATATATGCTTGTGCCCTTCTGTACCTGTAAATTTCTAGGACTTCACAACTGAGTTTCACTGTCCTTGATATGATATTTTTCAGTTCCAATTTACAAGCTGCATTGTTAAGATTGCATGAGACTTGAACACTTTTGCCCTTTCCTTTTTCCTCTTTCCTCTCTCCTCTTTCCTCTCTGAAAGAGGAGTCATAATCAATAAAGTTGATAGCCTGGATACGCGAAATAGTTGTCATAAATTTTTGAAATGAAAATAGTGCCCAAGATGACCGCATATACCTTTTCATATCTCTTTGAAACTCGCTGGTATTTTCCTGCTCAATACCACACATTCCCATCTTCCTGCTCAATACCACACATTCCCATCCTCCTTACCTGTGGCATCAATTTTCTTGTCTCTACTCATATCCCAAGATTTCTTGTTTTCAAATTTCCTGCATGTTGCTCTCTTAATGTATTTCTAAATTGGATTATTGTTGTTGATGATGCTTGCAATGTTTTTTTTTCCCTTTTTGGCTTTGTGTAGTTGACCTCGTGAAAGTCAGAGGTGCTGCCCCCAATCTCGAGCAGCCCCAGCCAGACGATAGATTTTGAGATTTGGTTTCAGAAGGAATTGGAAAGGGAGAAGCAGCTTGAAGAGCGGTGTGAGGAAGAGTTCCAAACCTGGTTTCTTCAGGAGCTGTTGAAAGAGGAGATGTTGAAAGAGCAGCTGTTGAAAGAGCAGAATCTCTTGAAAGAGATTAAGACTGGGAGCGAGAATCCAGTCAACGAAAAGCCGAAGCCGTTCAAGTGCTTGTTTAAGAATTGCGGTGAAGCGAAAGAGTCACACCATCAACTATTGAGTAGTAATAGGGGACGGTGAATAGCTATTGAGTTTTTTTATTTGTTTTTATCTTTTTCAAAATTCAAAATCGAAAGCCCAATGATATTGCGCTTGGAGCTGGGAGTTATAATATTGGGCCTAAGTGTACGTTATCTTCTTCTACCCGGCCCATGGATTTCAATCGGTGAAATCTATTACAATTTTAAGTCTTTCACTAATATCCGTTTAATTTCTTGTTCTTCAAGCTGTTCTCAAGAGCTCCTCCTCTGAATGGCGATGAATTCTGGTAACTTTATTTCAGGATCTTCATCTTTCATCTTTCTTTTTGCCAGATATTATCTATTTAAACTCCTTCTTTCTTGTAGGAGGCAACATGAAAATGACTGCCGTGCGCTACCCGAATCCAGGTGTGCATTTGTTTCTCATACCCTAAGTTTATCTTAACCTTCTTTTACCTTTTGTTTATTTTGTTTTTGTTTTTGTAGCCTTGAACCAAAGAGCAGCACTCCCTCTATTTACGGGGCCAACTTCACTTTCCCTGCTACTCTTGGTATTTTTTTTTCATGTTTTTAATTTGTTTTTCATTTTCTTGATATTTTTCCTTGATTTGTTGATTTTCTCATGTTTTGATCTGAAGTTTGGTTGAGTTTCTGTATATGGTGATTGTTTTGTGTCTATTGGGATATTAAGTCATATGCCGTGGAATTGATGGGCCTGTTGCTCTTATTTATTTTTTTGTTATCGTATTGTTTATGGACACTTGTGTGGTTGGGTTATCCTCCAGATTTTGCAAGCTGTTTGATTATCAATACTATGTGAGTTTGTATTGTTGCTGCTATGGGAGTACACATTGTTTAAAATAGCTTCATTAGGAAACATATTTTTTTTAAATTTTTTATTTTATTTGGCTTATTTCTGTTCTGTATTTATGATTTTATTTCTCATTTTCTTGGTATTTATTGGATTTTCTGCAATAATTTTTGTAGGCTTAACTATGAGAGCTGTCCCAGGTCCTACTTTTGTCTCTCGAACTAGTGGTATAATTTTTTTTTTTCAATTTTTTTAATTCTTTTTGTGCTGTTAGGAGTACATGGTTGTGGAAATTAGTGTTACAACTAGAAGTTTCACCATATCTGTTTGAATGTGCAACAATCCAAATCACTTTTATATATTGAAGAAAAGAGAGATTGAAGATGCATTAGCATATTGATTAACCATTATGTGGAAATATAGAATATGTGAATGCTTACTATGCTCATACAGAGAAACATGTGTGATATATGATCTGGGAAAAATGTAACTAGCTTGGCTTGGCTTGGCTCGAGTATTTTGGAGAACAGCCAATTGGAACAAGTACAGTTCATTTTAGGGCTACACTTCAGTTTGATAAGAAATACATTAAATGGTGATTAGACCAGGTTTATGTGGAAGTCGATACTGTTTTATTATATGGGGTTTTGGTCAACATAGAGTTGTTGGGATCTATTTCAACTGCATTCTTGCTTTATATCTTTCTCTACCAGATCAATATATGCTTGTGCCCTTCTGTACCTGTAAATTTCTAGGACTTCACAACTGAGTTTCACTGTCCTTGATATGATATTTTTCAGTTCCAATTTACAAGCTGCATTGTTAAGATTGCATGAGACTTGAACACTTTTGCCCTTTCCTTTTTCCTCTTTCCTCTCTCCTCTTTCCTCTCTGAAAGAGGAGTCATAATCAATAAAGTTGATAGCCTGGATACGCGAAATAGTTGTCATAAATTTTTGAAATGAAAATAGTGCCCAAGATGACCGCATATACCTTTTCATATCTCTTTGAAACTCGCTGGTATTTTCCTGCTCAATACCACACATTCCCATCTTCCTGCTCAATACCACACATTCCCATCCTCCTTACCTGTGGCATCAATTTTCTTGTCTCTACTCATATCCCAAGATTTCTTGTTTTCAAATTTCCTGCATGTTGCTCTCTTAATGTATTTCTAAATTGGATTATTGTTGTTGATGATGCTTGCAATGTTTTTTTTTCCCTTTTTGGCTTTGTGTAGTTGACCTCGTGAAAGTCAGAGGTGCTGCCCCCAATCTCGAGCAGCCCCAGCCAGACGATAGATTTTGAGATTTGGTTTCAGAAGGAATTGGAAAGGGAGAAGCAGCTTGAAGAGCGGTGTGAGGAAGAGTTCCAAACCTGGTTTCTTCAGGAGCTGTTGAAAGAGGAGATGTTGAAAGAGCAGCTGTTGAAAGAGCAGAATCTCTTGAAAGAGATTAAGACTGGGAGCGAGAATCCAGTCAACGAAAAGCCGAAGCCGTTCAAGTGCTTGTTTAAGAATTGCGGTGAAGCGAAAGAGTCACACCATCAACTATTGAGTAGTAATAGGGGACGGTGAATAGCTATTGAGTTTTTTTATTTGTTTTTATCTTTTTCAAAATTCAAAATCGAAAGCCCAATGATATTGCGCTTGGAGCTGGGAGTTATAATATTGGGCCTAAGTGTACGTTATCTTCTTCTACCCGGCCCATGGATTTCAATCGGTGAAATCTATTACAATTTTAAGTCTTTCACTAATATCCGTTTAATTTCTTGTTCTTCAAGCTGTTCTCAAGAGCTCCTCCTCTGAATGGCGATGAATTCTGGTAACTTTATTTCAGGATCTTCATCTTTCATCTTTCTTTTTGCCAGATATTATCTATTTAAACTCCTTCTTTCTTGTAGGAGGCAACATGAAAATGACTGCCGTGCGCTACCCGAATCCAGGTGTGCATTTGTTTCTCATACCCTAAGTTTATCTTAACCTTCTTTTACCTTTTGTTTATTTTGTTTTTGTTTTTGTAGCCTTGAACCAAAGAGCAGCACTCCCTCTATTTACGGGGCCAACTTCACTTTCCCTGCTACTCTTGGTATTTTTTTTTCATGTTTTTAATTTGTTTTTCATTTTCTTGATATTTTTCCTTGATTTGTTGATTTTCTCATGTTTTGATCTGAAGTTTGGTTGAGTTTCTGTATATGGTGATTGTTTTGTGTCTATTGGGATATTAAGTCATATGCCGTGGAATTGATGGGCCTGTTGCTCTTATTTATTTTTTTGTTATCGTATTGTTTATGGACACTTGTGTGGTTGGGTTATCCTCCAGATTTTGCAAGCTGTTTGATTATCAATACTATGTGAGTTTGTATTGTTGCTGCTATGGGAGTACACATTGTTTAAAATAGCTTCATTAGGAAACATATTTTTTTTAAATTTTTTATTTTATTTGGCTTATTTCTGTTCTGTATTTATGATTTTATTTCTCATTTTCTTGGTATTTATTGGATTTTCTGCAATAATTTTTGTAGGCTTAACTATGAGAGCTGTCCCAGGTCCTACTTTTGTCTCTCGAACTAGTGGTATAATTTTTTTTTTTCAATTTTTTTAATTCTTTTTGTGCTGTTAGGAGTACATGGTTGTGGAAATTAGTGTTACAACTAGAAGTTTCACCATATCTGTTTGAATGTGCAACAATCCAAATCACTTTTATATATTGAAGAAAAGAGAGATTGAAGATGCATTAGCATATTGATTAACCATTATGTGGAAATATAGAATATGTGAATGCTTACTATGCTCATACAGAGAAACATGTGTGATATATGATCTGGGAAAAATGTAACTAGCTTGGCTTGGCTTGGCTCGAGTATTTTGGAGAACAGCCAATTGGAACAAGTACAGTTCATTTTAGGGCTACACTTCAGTTTGATAAGAAATACATTAAATGGTGATTAGACCAGGTTTATGTGGAAGTCGATACTGTTTTATTATATGGGGTTTTGGTCAACATAGAGTTGTTGGGATCTATTTCAACTGCATTCTTGCTTTATATCTTTCTCTACCAGATCAATATATGCTTGTGCCCTTCTGTACCTGTAAATTTCTAGGACTTCACAACTGAGTTTCACTGTCCTTGATATGATATTTTTCAGTTCCAATTTACAAGCTGCATTGTTAAGATTGCATGAGACTTGAACACTTTTGCCCTTTCCTTTTTCCTCTTTCCTCTCTCCTCTTTCCTCTCTGAAAGAGGAGTCATAATCAATAAAGTTGATAGCCTGGATACGCGAAATAGTTGTCATAAATTTTTGAAATGAAAATAGTGCCCAAGATGACCGCATATACCTTTTCATATCTCTTTGAAACTCGCTGGTATTTTCCTGCTCAATACCACACATTCCCATCTTCCTGCTCAATACCACACATTCCCATCCTCCTTACCTGTGGCATCAATTTTCTTGTCTCTACTCATATCCCAAGATTTCTTGTTTTCAAATTTCCTGCATGTTGCTCTCTTAATGTATTTCTAAATTGGATTATTGTTGTTGATGATGCTTGCAATGTTTTTTTTTCCCTTTTTGGCTTTGTGTAGTTGACCTCGTGAAAGTCAGAGGTGCTGCCCCCAATCTCGAGCAGCCCCAGCCAGACGATAGATTTTGAGATTTGGTTTCAGAAGGAATTGGAAAGGGAGAAGCAGCTTGAAGAGCGGTGTGAGGAAGAGTTCCAAACCTGGTTTCTTCAGGAGCTGTTGAAAGAGGAGATGTTGAAAGAGCAGCTGTTGAAAGAGCAGAATCTCTTGAAAGAGATTAAGACTGGGAGCGAGAATCCAGTCAACGAAAAGCCGAAGCCGTTCAAGTGCTTGTTTAAGAATTGCGGTGAAGCGAAAGAGTCACACCATCAACTATTGAGTAGTAATAGGGGACGGTGAATAGCTATTGAGTTTTTTTATTTGTTTTTATCTTTTTCAAAATTCAAAATCGAAAGCCCAATGATATTGCGCTTGGAGCTGGGAGTTATAATATTGGGCCTAAGTGTACGTTATCTTCTTCTACCCGGCCCATGGATTTCAATCGGTGAAATCTATTACAATTTTAAGTCTTTCACTAATATCCGTTTAATTTCTTGTTCTTCAAGCTGTTCTCAAGAGCTCCTCCTCTGAATGGCGATGAATTCTGGTAACTTTATTTCAGGATCTTCATCTTTCATCTTTCTTTTTGCCAGATATTATCTATTTAAACTCCTTCTTTCTTGTAGGAGGCAACATGAAAATGACTGCCGTGCGCTACCCGAATCCAGGTGTGCATTTGTTTCTCATACCCTAAGTTTATCTTAACCTTCTTTTACCTTTTGTTTATTTTGTTTTTGTTTTTGTAGCCTTGAACCAAAGAGCAGCACTCCCTCTATTTACGGGGCCAACTTCACTTTCCCTGCTACTCTTGGTATTTTTTTTTCATGTTTTTAATTTGTTTTTCATTTTCTTGATATTTTTCCTTGATTTGTTGATTTTCTCATGTTTTGATCTGAAGTTTGGTTGAGTTTCTGTATATGGTGATTGTTTTGTGTCTATTGGGATATTAAGTCATATGCCGTGGAATTGATGGGCCTGTTGCTCTTATTTATTTTTTTGTTATCGTATTGTTTATGGACACTTGTGTGGTTGGGTTATCCTCCAGATTTTGCAAGCTGTTTGATTATCAATACTATGTGAGTTTGTATTGTTGCTGCTATGGGAGTACACATTGTTTAAAATAGCTTCATTAGGAAACATATTTTTTTTAAATTTTTTATTTTATTTGGCTTATTTCTGTTCTGTATTTATGATTTTATTTCTCATTTTCTTGGTATTTATTGGATTTTCTGCAATAATTTTTGTAGGCTTAACTATGAGAGCTGTCCCAGGTCCTACTTTTGTCTCTCGAACTAGTGGTATAATTTTTTTTTTTCAATTTTTTTAATTCTTTTTGTGCTGTTAGGAGTACATGGTTGTGGAAATTAGTGTTACAACTAGAAGTTTCACCATATCTGTTTGAATGTGCAACAATCCAAATCACTTTTATATATTGAAGAAAAGAGAGATTGAAGATGCATTAGCATATTGATTAACCATTATGTGGAAATATAGAATATGTGAATGCTTACTATGCTCATACAGAGAAACATGTGTGATATATGATCTGGGAAAAATGTAACTAGCTTGGCTTGGCTTGGCTCGAGTATTTTGGAGAACAGCCAATTGGAACAAGTACAGTTCATTTTAGGGCTACACTTCAGTTTGATAAGAAATACATTAAATGGTGATTAGACCAGGTTTATGTGGAAGTCGATACTGTTTTATTATATGGGGTTTTGGTCAACATAGAGTTGTTGGGATCTATTTCAACTGCATTCTTGCTTTATATCTTTCTCTACCAGATCAATATATGCTTGTGCCCTTCTGTACCTGTAAATTTCTAGGACTTCACAACTGAGTTTCACTGTCCTTGATATGATATTTTTCAGTTCCAATTTACAAGCTGCATTGTTAAGATTGCATGAGACTTGAACACTTTTGCCCTTTCCTTTTTCCTCTTTCCTCTCTCCTCTTTCCTCTCTGAAAGAGGAGTCATAATCAATAAAGTTGATAGCCTGGATACGCGAAATAGTTGTCATAAATTTTTGAAATGAAAATAGTGCCCAAGATGACCGCATATACCTTTTCATATCTCTTTGAAACTCGCTGGTATTTTCCTGCTCAATACCACACATTCCCATCTTCCTGCTCAATACCACACATTCCCATCCTCCTTACCTGTGGCATCAATTTTCTTGTCTCTACTCATATCCCAAGATTTCTTGTTTTCAAATTTCCTGCATGTTGCTCTCTTAATGTATTTCTAAATTGGATTATTGTTGTTGATGATGCTTGCAATGTTTTTTTTTCCCTTTTTGGCTTTGTGTAGTTGACCTCGTGAAAGTCAGAGGTGCTGCCCCCAATCTCGAGCAGCCCCAGCCAGACGATAGATTTTGAGATTTGGTTTCAGAAGGAATTGGAAAGGGAGAAGCAGCTTGAAGAGCGGTGTGAGGAAGAGTTCCAAACCTGGTTTCTTCAGGAGCTGTTGAAAGAGGAGATGTTGAAAGAGCAGCTGTTGAAAGAGCAGAATCTCTTGAAAGAGATTAAGACTGGGAGCGAGAATCCAGTCAACGAAAAGCCGAAGCCGTTCAAGTGCTTGTTTAAGAATTGCGGTGAAGCGAAAGAGTCACACCATCAACTATTGAGTAGTAATAGGGGACGGTGAATAGCTATTGAGTTTTTTTATTTGTTTTTATCTTTTTCAAAATTCAAAATCGAAAGCCCAATGATATTGCGCTTGGAGCTGGGAGTTATAATATTGGGCCTAAGTGTACGTTATCTTCTTCTACCCGGCCCATGGATTTCAATCGGTGAAATCTATTACAATTTTAAGTCTTTCACTAATATCCGTTTAATTTCTTGTTCTTCAAGCTGTTCTCAAGAGCTCCTCCTCTGAATGGCGATGAATTCTGGTAACTTTATTTCAGGATCTTCATCTTTCATCTTTCTTTTTGCCAGATATTATCTATTTAAACTCCTTCTTTCTTGTAGGAGGCAACATGAAAATGACTGCCGTGCGCTACCCGAATCCAGGTGTGCATTTGTTTCTCATACCCTAAGTTTATCTTAACCTTCTTTTACCTTTTGTTTATTTTGTTTTTGTTTTTGTAGCCTTGAACCAAAGAGCAGCACTCCCTCTATTTACGGGGCCAACTTCACTTTCCCTGCTACTCTTGGTATTTTTTTTTCATGTTTTTAATTTGTTTTTCATTTTCTTGATATTTTTCCTTGATTTGTTGATTTTCTCATGTTTTGATCTGAAGTTTGGTTGAGTTTCTGTATATGGTGATTGTTTTGTGTCTATTGGGATATTAAGTCATATGCCGTGGAATTGATGGGCCTGTTGCTCTTATTTATTTTTTTGTTATCGTATTGTTTATGGACACTTGTGTGGTTGGGTTATCCTCCAGATTTTGCAAGCTGTTTGATTATCAATACTATGTGAGTTTGTATTGTTGCTGCTATGGGAGTACACATTGTTTAAAATAGCTTCATTAGGAAACATATTTTTTTTAAATTTTTTATTTTATTTGGCTTATTTCTGTTCTGTATTTATGATTTTATTTCTCATTTTCTTGGTATTTATTGGATTTTCTGCAATAATTTTTGTAGGCTTAACTATGAGAGCTGTCCCAGGTCCTACTTTTGTCTCTCGAACTAGTGGTATAATTTTTTTTTTTCAATTTTTTTAATTCTTTTTGTGCTGTTAGGAGTACATGGTTGTGGAAATTAGTGTTACAACTAGAAGTTTCACCATATCTGTTTGAATGTGCAACAATCCAAATCACTTTTATATATTGAAGAAAAGAGAGATTGAAGATGCATTAGCATATTGATTAACCATTATGTGGAAATATAGAATATGTGAATGCTTACTATGCTCATACAGAGAAACATGTGTGATATATGATCTGGGAAAAATGTAACTAGCTTGGCTTGGCTTGGCTCGAGTATTTTGGAGAACAGCCAATTGGAACAAGTACAGTTCATTTTAGGGCTACACTTCAGTTTGATAAGAAATACATTAAATGGTGATTAGACCAGGTTTATGTGGAAGTCGATACTGTTTTATTATATGGGGTTTTGGTCAACATAGAGTTGTTGGGATCTATTTCAACTGCATTCTTGCTTTATATCTTTCTCTACCAGATCAATATATGCTTGTGCCCTTCTGTACCTGTAAATTTCTAGGACTTCACAACTGAGTTTCACTGTCCTTGATATGATATTTTTCAGTTCCAATTTACAAGCTGCATTGTTAAGATTGCATGAGACTTGAACACTTTTGCCCTTTCCTTTTTCCTCTTTCCTCTCTCCTCTTTCCTCTCTGAAAGAGGAGTCATAATCAATAAAGTTGATAGCCTGGATACGCGAAATAGTTGTCATAAATTTTTGAAATGAAAATAGTGCCCAAGATGACCGCATATACCTTTTCATATCTCTTTGAAACTCGCTGGTATTTTCCTGCTCAATACCACACATTCCCATCTTCCTGCTCAATACCACACATTCCCATCCTCCTTACCTGTGGCATCAATTTTCTTGTCTCTACTCATATCCCAAGATTTCTTGTTTTCAAATTTCCTGCATGTTGCTCTCTTAATGTATTTCTAAATTGGATTATTGTTGTTGATGATGCTTGCAATGTTTTTTTTTCCCTTTTTGGCTTTGTGTAGTTGACCTCGTGAAAGTCAGAGGTGCTGCCCCCAATCTCGAGCAGCCCCAGCCAGACGATAGATTTTGAGATTTGGTTTCAGAAGGAATTGGAAAGGGAGAAGCAGCTTGAAGAGCGGTGTGAGGAAGAGTTCCAAACCTGGTTTCTTCAGGAGCTGTTGAAAGAGGAGATGTTGAAAGAGCAGCTGTTGAAAGAGCAGAATCTCTTGAAAGAGATTAAGACTGGGAGCGAGAATCCAGTCAACGAAAAGCCGAAGCCGTTCAAGTGCTTGTTTAAGAATTGCGGTGAAGCGAAAGAGTCACACCATCAACTATTGAGTAGTAATAGGGGACGGTGAATAGCTATTGAGTTTTTTTATTTGTTTTTATCTTTTTCAAAATTCAAAATCGAAAGCCCAATGATATTGCGCTTGGAGCTGGGAGTTATAATATTGGGCCTAAGTGTACGTTATCTTCTTCTACCCGGCCCATGGATTTCAATCGGTGAAATCTATTACAATTTTAAGTCTTTCACTAATATCCGTTTAATTTCTTGTTCTTCAAGCTGTTCTCAAGAGCTCCTCCTCTGAATGGCGATGAATTCTGGTAACTTTATTTCAGGATCTTCATCTTTCATCTTTCTTTTTGCCAGATATTATCTATTTAAACTCCTTCTTTCTTGTAGGAGGCAACATGAAAATGACTGCCGTGCGCTACCCGAATCCAGGTGTGCATTTGTTTCTCATACCCTAAGTTTATCTTAACCTTCTTTTACCTTTTGTTTATTTTGTTTTTGTTTTTGTAGCCTTGAACCAAAGAGCAGCACTCCCTCTATTTACGGGGCCAACTTCACTTTCCCTGCTACTCTTGGTATTTTTTTTTCATGTTTTTAATTTGTTTTTCATTTTCTTGATATTTTTCCTTGATTTGTTGATTTTCTCATGTTTTGATCTGAAGTTTGGTTGAGTTTCTGTATATGGTGATTGTTTTGTGTCTATTGGGATATTAAGTCATATGCCGTGGAATTGATGGGCCTGTTGCTCTTATTTATTTTTTTGTTATCGTATTGTTTATGGACACTTGTGTGGTTGGGTTATCCTCCAGATTTTGCAAGCTGTTTGATTATCAATACTATGTGAGTTTGTATTGTTGCTGCTATGGGAGTACACATTGTTTAAAATAGCTTCATTAGGAAACATATTTTTTTTAAATTTTTTATTTTATTTGGCTTATTTCTGTTCTGTATTTATGATTTTATTTCTCATTTTCTTGGTATTTATTGGATTTTCTGCAATAATTTTTGTAGGCTTAACTATGAGAGCTGTCCCAGGTCCTACTTTTGTCTCTCGAACTAGTGGTATAATTTTTTTTTTTCAATTTTTTTAATTCTTTTTGTGCTGTTAGGAGTACATGGTTGTGGAAATTAGTGTTACAACTAGAAGTTTCACCATATCTGTTTGAATGTGCAACAATCCAAATCACTTTTATATATTGAAGAAAAGAGAGATTGAAGATGCATTAGCATATTGATTAACCATTATGTGGAAATATAGAATATGTGAATGCTTACTATGCTCATACAGAGAAACATGTGTGATATATGATCTGGGAAAAATGTAACTAGCTTGGCTTGGCTTGGCTCGAGTATTTTGGAGAACAGCCAATTGGAACAAGTACAGTTCATTTTAGGGCTACACTTCAGTTTGATAAGAAATACATTAAATGGTGATTAGACCAGGTTTATGTGGAAGTCGATACTGTTTTATTATATGGGGTTTTGGTCAACATAGAGTTGTTGGGATCTATTTCAACTGCATTCTTGCTTTATATCTTTCTCTACCAGATCAATATATGCTTGTGCCCTTCTGTACCTGTAAATTTCTAGGACTTCACAACTGAGTTTCACTGTCCTTGATATGATATTTTTCAGTTCCAATTTACAAGCTGCATTGTTAAGATTGCATGAGACTTGAACACTTTTGCCCTTTCCTTTTTCCTCTTTCCTCTCTCCTCTTTCCTCTCTGAAAGAGGAGTCATAATCAATAAAGTTGATAGCCTGGATACGCGAAATAGTTGTCATAAATTTTTGAAATGAAAATAGTGCCCAAGATGACCGCATATACCTTTTCATATCTCTTTGAAACTCGCTGGTATTTTCCTGCTCAATACCACACATTCCCATCTTCCTGCTCAATACCACACATTCCCATCCTCCTTACCTGTGGCATCAATTTTCTTGTCTCTACTCATATCCCAAGATTTCTTGTTTTCAAATTTCCTGCATGTTGCTCTCTTAATGTATTTCTAAATTGGATTATTGTTGTTGATGATGCTTGCAATGTTTTTTTTTCCCTTTTTGGCTTTGTGTAGTTGACCTCGTGAAAGTCAGAGGTGCTGCCCCCAATCTCGAGCAGCCCCAGCCAGACGATAGATTTTGAGATTTGGTTTCAGAAGGAATTGGAAAGGGAGAAGCAGCTTGAAGAGCGGTGTGAGGAAGAGTTCCAAACCTGGTTTCTTCAGGAGCTGTTGAAAGAGGAGATGTTGAAAGAGCAGCTGTTGAAAGAGCAGAATCTCTTGAAAGAGATTAAGACTGGGAGCGAGAATCCAGTCAACGAAAAGCCGAAGCCGTTCAAGTGCTTGTTTAAGAATTGCGGTGAAGCGAAAGAGTCACACCATCAACTATTGAGTAGTAATAGGGGACGGTGAATAGCTATTGAGTTTTTTTATTTGTTTTTATCTTTTTCAAAATTCAAAATCGAAAGCCCAATGATATTGCGCTTGGAGCTGGGAGTTATAATATTGGGCCTAAGTGTACGTTATCTTCTTCTACCCGGCCCATGGATTTCAATCGGTGAAATCTATTACAATTTTAAGTCTTTCACTAATATCCGTTTAATTTCTTGTTCTTCAAGCTGTTCTCAAGAGCTCCTCCTCTGAATGGCGATGAATTCTGGTAACTTTATTTCAGGATCTTCATCTTTCATCTTTCTTTTTGCCAGATATTATCTATTTAAACTCCTTCTTTCTTGTAGGAGGCAACATGAAAATGACTGCCGTGCGCTACCCGAATCCAGGTGTGCATTTGTTTCTCATACCCTAAGTTTATCTTAACCTTCTTTTACCTTTTGTTTATTTTGTTTTTGTTTTTGTAGCCTTGAACCAAAGAGCAGCACTCCCTCTATTTACGGGGCCAACTTCACTTTCCCTGCTACTCTTGGTATTTTTTTTTCATGTTTTTAATTTGTTTTTCATTTTCTTGATATTTTTCCTTGATTTGTTGATTTTCTCATGTTTTGATCTGAAGTTTGGTTGAGTTTCTGTATATGGTGATTGTTTTGTGTCTATTGGGATATTAAGTCATATGCCGTGGAATTGATGGGCCTGTTGCTCTTATTTATTTTTTTGTTATCGTATTGTTTATGGACACTTGTGTGGTTGGGTTATCCTCCAGATTTTGCAAGCTGTTTGATTATCAATACTATGTGAGTTTGTATTGTTGCTGCTATGGGAGTACACATTGTTTAAAATAGCTTCATTAGGAAACATATTTTTTTTAAATTTTTTATTTTATTTGGCTTATTTCTGTTCTGTATTTATGATTTTATTTCTCATTTTCTTGGTATTTATTGGATTTTCTGCAATAATTTTTGTAGGCTTAACTATGAGAGCTGTCCCAGGTCCTACTTTTGTCTCTCGAACTAGTGGTATAATTTTTTTTTTTCAATTTTTTTAATTCTTTTTGTGCTGTTAGGAGTACATGGTTGTGGAAATTAGTGTTACAACTAGAAGTTTCACCATATCTGTTTGAATGTGCAACAATCCAAATCACTTTTATATATTGAAGAAAAGAGAGATTGAAGATGCATTAGCATATTGATTAACCATTATGTGGAAATATAGAATATGTGAATGCTTACTATGCTCATACAGAGAAACATGTGTGATATATGATCTGGGAAAAATGTAACTAGCTTGGCTTGGCTTGGCTCGAGTATTTTGGAGAACAGCCAATTGGAACAAGTACAGTTCATTTTAGGGCTACACTTCAGTTTGATAAGAAATACATTAAATGGTGATTAGACCAGGTTTATGTGGAAGTCGATACTGTTTTATTATATGGGGTTTTGGTCAACATAGAGTTGTTGGGATCTATTTCAACTGCATTCTTGCTTTATATCTTTCTCTACCAGATCAATATATGCTTGTGCCCTTCTGTACCTGTAAATTTCTAGGACTTCACAACTGAGTTTCACTGTCCTTGATATGATATTTTTCAGTTCCAATTTACAAGCTGCATTGTTAAGATTGCATGAGACTTGAACACTTTTGCCCTTTCCTTTTTCCTCTTTCCTCTCTCCTCTTTCCTCTCTGAAAGAGGAGTCATAATCAATAAAGTTGATAGCCTGGATACGCGAAATAGTTGTCATAAATTTTTGAAATGAAAATAGTGCCCAAGATGACCGCATATACCTTTTCATATCTCTTTGAAACTCGCTGGTATTTTCCTGCTCAATACCACACATTCCCATCTTCCTGCTCAATACCACACATTCCCATCCTCCTTACCTGTGGCATCAATTTTCTTGTCTCTACTCATATCCCAAGATTTCTTGTTTTCAAATTTCCTGCATGTTGCTCTCTTAATGTATTTCTAAATTGGATTATTGTTGTTGATGATGCTTGCAATGTTTTTTTTTCCCTTTTTGGCTTTGTGTAGTTGACCTCGTGAAAGTCAGAGGTGCTGCCCCCAATCTCGAGCAGCCCCAGCCAGACGATAGATTTTGAGATTTGGTTTCAGAAGGAATTGGAAAGGGAGAAGCAGCTTGAAGAGCGGTGTGAGGAAGAGTTCCAAACCTGGTTTCTTCAGGAGCTGTTGAAAGAGGAGATGTTGAAAGAGCAGCTGTTGAAAGAGCAGAATCTCTTGAAAGAGATTAAGACTGGGAGCGAGAATCCAGTCAACGAAAAGCCGAAGCCGTTCAAGTGCTTGTTTAAGAATTGCGGTGAAGCGAAAGAGTCACACCATCAACTATTGAGTAGTAATAGGGGACGGTGAATAGCTATTGAGTTTTTTTATTTGTTTTTATCTTTTTCAAAATTCAAAATCGAAAGCCCAATGATATTGCGCTTGGAGCTGGGAGTTATAATATTGGGCCTAAGTGTACGTTATCTTCTTCTACCCGGCCCATGGATTTCAATCGGTGAAATCTATTACAATTTTAAGTCTTTCACTAATATCCGTTTAATTTCTTGTTCTTCAAGCTGTTCTCAAGAGCTCCTCCTCTGAATGGCGATGAATTCTGGTAACTTTATTTCAGGATCTTCATCTTTCATCTTTCTTTTTGCCAGATATTATCTATTTAAACTCCTTCTTTCTTGTAGGAGGCAACATGAAAATGACTGCCGTGCGCTACCCGAATCCAGGTGTGCATTTGTTTCTCATACCCTAAGTTTATCTTAACCTTCTTTTACCTTTTGTTTATTTTGTTTTTGTTTTTGTAGCCTTGAACCAAAGAGCAGCACTCCCTCTATTTACGGGGCCAACTTCACTTTCCCTGCTACTCTTGGTATTTTTTTTTCATGTTTTTAATTTGTTTTTCATTTTCTTGATATTTTTCCTTGATTTGTTGATTTTCTCATGTTTTGATCTGAAGTTTGGTTGAGTTTCTGTATATGGTGATTGTTTTGTGTCTATTGGGATATTAAGTCATATGCCGTGGAATTGATGGGCCTGTTGCTCTTATTTATTTTTTTGTTATCGTATTGTTTATGGACACTTGTGTGGTTGGGTTATCCTCCAGATTTTGCAAGCTGTTTGATTATCAATACTATGTGAGTTTGTATTGTTGCTGCTATGGGAGTACACATTGTTTAAAATAGCTTCATTAGGAAACATATTTTTTTTAAATTTTTTATTTTATTTGGCTTATTTCTGTTCTGTATTTATGATTTTATTTCTCATTTTCTTGGTATTTATTGGATTTTCTGCAATAATTTTTGTAGGCTTAACTATGAGAGCTGTCCCAGGTCCTACTTTTGTCTCTCGAACTAGTGGTATAATTTTTTTTTTTCAATTTTTTTAATTCTTTTTGTGCTGTTAGGAGTACATGGTTGTGGAAATTAGTGTTACAACTAGAAGTTTCACCATATCTGTTTGAATGTGCAACAATCCAAATCACTTTTATATATTGAAGAAAAGAGAGATTGAAGATGCATTAGCATATTGATTAACCATTATGTGGAAATATAGAATATGTGAATGCTTACTATGCTCATACAGAGAAACATGTGTGATATATGATCTGGGAAAAATGTAACTAGCTTGGCTTGGCTTGGCTCGAGTATTTTGGAGAACAGCCAATTGGAACAAGTACAGTTCATTTTAGGGCTACACTTCAGTTTGATAAGAAATACATTAAATGGTGATTAGACCAGGTTTATGTGGAAGTCGATACTGTTTTATTATATGGGGTTTTGGTCAACATAGAGTTGTTGGGATCTATTTCAACTGCATTCTTGCTTTATATCTTTCTCTACCAGATCAATATATGCTTGTGCCCTTCTGTACCTGTAAATTTCTAGGACTTCACAACTGAGTTTCACTGTCCTTGATATGATATTTTTCAGTTCCAATTTACAAGCTGCATTGTTAAGATTGCATGAGACTTGAACACTTTTGCCCTTTCCTTTTTCCTCTTTCCTCTCTCCTCTTTCCTCTCTGAAAGAGGAGTCATAATCAATAAAGTTGATAGCCTGGATACGCGAAATAGTTGTCATAAATTTTTGAAATGAAAATAGTGCCCAAGATGACCGCATATACCTTTTCATATCTCTTTGAAACTCGCTGGTATTTTCCTGCTCAATACCACACATTCCCATCTTCCTGCTCAATACCACACATTCCCATCCTCCTTACCTGTGGCATCAATTTTCTTGTCTCTACTCATATCCCAAGATTTCTTGTTTTCAAATTTCCTGCATGTTGCTCTCTTAATGTATTTCTAAATTGGATTATTGTTGTTGATGATGCTTGCAATGTTTTTTTTTCCCTTTTTGGCTTTGTGTAGTTGACCTCGTGAAAGTCAGAGGTGCTGCCCCCAATCTCGAGCAGCCCCAGCCAGACGATAGATTTTGAGATTTGGTTTCAGAAGGAATTGGAAAGGGAGAAGCAGCTTGAAGAGCGGTGTGAGGAAGAGTTCCAAACCTGGTTTCTTCAGGAGCTGTTGAAAGAGGAGATGTTGAAAGAGCAGCTGTTGAAAGAGCAGAATCTCTTGAAAGAGATTAAGACTGGGAGCGAGAATCCAGTCAACGAAAAGCCGAAGCCGTTCAAGTGCTTGTTTAAGAATTGCGGTGAAGCGAAAGAGTCACACCATCAACTAAGCCGTCATTGAAATGAAACTCAGTCCCACAAGCCAATCGCGGATGGGACTGAGTTTCATTCCAATGACGGCTCAGCTCAGTTGATGGTGTGGCTCTTTCGCTTCACCGCAATTCTTAAACAAGCACTTGAACGGCTTCAGCTTTTCGTCGACTGGATTCTCGCTCCCAGTCTTAATCTCTTTCAAGAGATTCTGCTCTTTCAACAGTTGCTCGCTCACTCATTCAACAGCTCCTCTTTCTTTCAACAGCTCAGCTCATGAAGAAACCAAGCTTGGAACTCCTCCTCACACCGCTCTTCAAGCTGCTTCTCCCTTTCCAATTCCTTCTGAAACCAAGTCTCAAAATCATCGTTTGGCTGGGGCTGCTCGAGATTGGGGGCAGCACCTCTGACTTTCACGAGGTCAACTACACAAAGCCAAAAAGGGAAAAAAAAACATTGCAAGCATCATCAACAACAATAATCCAATTTAGAAATACATTAAGAGAGCAACATGCAGGAAATTTGAAAACAAGAAATCTTGGGATATGAGTGGAGACAAGAAAATTGATGCCACAGGTAAGGAGGATGGGAATGTGTGGTATTGAGCAGAAAGATGGGAATGTGTGGTATTGAGCAGGAAAATACCAGCGAGCTTCAAAGAGATATGAAAAGGTATATGCGGTCATCTTGGGCACTATTTTCATTTCAAAAATTTATGACAACTATTTCGCGTATCCAGGCTATCAACTTTATTGATTATGACTCCTCTTTCAGTGAGGAAAAAGGAAAGGGCAAAAGTGTTCAAGTCTCATGCAATCTTAACAATGCAGCTTGTAAATTGGAACTGAAAAATATCATATCAAGGACAGTGAAACTCTGTTGTGAAGTCCTAGAAATTTACAGGTACAGAAGGGCACAAGCATATATTGATCTGGTAGAGAAAGATATAAAGCAAGAATGCAGTTGAAATAGATCCCAACAACTCTATGTTGACCAAAACCCCATATAATAAAACAGTATCGACTTCCACATAAACCTGGTCTAATCACCATTTAATGTATTTCTTATCAAACTGAAGTGTAGCCCTAAAATGAACTGTACTTGTTCCAATTGGCTGTTCTCCAAAATACTCGAGCCGAGCCAAGCCAAGCTAGTTACATTTTTCCCAGATCATATATCACACATGTTTCTCTGTATGAGCATAGTAAGCATTCACATATTCTATATTTCCACATAATGGTTAATCAATATGCGCATATCATCTGGCACACTTCAAGGTGTGTGCGCATATCATACCGCCTCCACCCTCGGCTGCAGCTCCCGAGGAGGGGAAAAAGAAAGGGAAGTAGGGGGAGGGAAAAAAAAAGAAAGATTATCCTCTCTGAAGCCCTTTTTATTCATGTTCTCTTGAAGTGAAACTGTTCACAGTTGTTGATAAGGTGTCTATTTTAAATATTATTAGTTCTGAGTTTTGTTTAGAAGTGAAGTTCAAAATGCAAAATGCTACTGAGACTTTGTGTGCTGTGTTTGTTTATATTAGTACTGATCCTTTTGTTAGGAGCTCCCAGTTTCAATCTTTGCTTAGACATAGTCTTTCCTGGGGTGACTCTTGGTTNACTTTAGGAATTTTGTTTTCTCTTTAGGAGTTAGTGAAGCCAAAATCATTGGGCACCTTTTTACCTGGACTAACAACAAGAAAGGTGCCTCCATTGAAGAAAAATTGGACAGGTTCCTATTTTCTGCTGATTGGCTTTTGAATTTCCCCAACTCCGTCATTAAACATTTCCCTACTATTTCCTCTGATCATTGTTTGCTTGTTTTTGCTTGTTTTGGAAACTGACCTGGTCTGCCCTAGGGTTAAGAAGAGATTTCTTTTTTATTCCAGATGGACCAAGTTAGAGAGTTATTTTGAAGTGGTTAACCAAGCAACTCTCAGGTGTCTTGTTCTACTCTGTATAGCATTCAAGATAGGATTAGAAACACTAGAAAGGCCGTACTCAAGTGGAAACAAGATAAAGTTCCTAATGCTAGCCTTGTCATTGCTGAATGCAACGAGGAGTTGTACAGACTTTATTCTCAGCGTGGGCATAGGGATTGGGTGGAGTGGGTTAGGTGTAAGGATAAAACTGTACTGTGCTTATTCTGATGAGGAGAATTTTTGGAAACAAAAATCTAGGATTAACTGCCTTAGGGAGGGAGATAAGAACTCTAAATTCTTCCATGCTAGTGTGAAGCAGAGGAGAATCCTGAATAGTCTTGATAACATCACTAAAGCTGATGGTTCAAAGTGCAGGAGTAACTTGGAGACTGTTGATGAGTTGATGGAATATTTTAACAATATATTCAAATCTTCTAACCCTTTGGACCAACAGTGTAACTTTTATTTCATGGATACTTGCCTGTGTTTGTACTGCTTCTTGTTCTTTTAATGTGAATGGGGCTGTTCTTAGCTATTTCAACCAACAAGGGGTCTCAGACAAGGAGACCCCTTATCCCCTTATCTTTTTATCTTGGTCTCTGAAGCCTTGTCTAATTTGGTTAATCAGGCAGTATCTATTGGTTCTTATAAAGGCATGAAAATTGGTAAACACTCTCCTCTGATTTCTCACATCTTCTTTGCTGATGATTCTATCTTATTTTGTAAAGCTGACTGTCATCATGCATGTCTTATTGTTCATCTGCTTGCTTCCTATGGTAATGACTCTGGTCAACTTGTCAATTATGATAAATCCTCTGTGTTGATTTCCAAAAACACCTCTTCAGATAGCCAACATAGAATATGTCGGATCTTGAATTGGATTTCTTGTCGTTAAATCAGGAAAATATCTGGGGTTGCCATTAGGGGTGGGGAGATCTAAGAGAGAAACCTTTGCTTTTGTCAGTGAGTGTGAATAGCAAACTTAAAAGTTGGAAGAATAGGTTCCTGAGTGAGGCTGGTAGGGAGGTGTTGGTTAAATCAGTCCTTAGTGCTCTTCCTTTGTATGTGATGTCCTGTTTTAGAATCCCTTTGGCTATTGTGAGTGCTATTTGTAGAGATATTGCAGGGTTTTGGTGGGGGAAAAATGAAATGGGTGGGGATAAGATTCATTGGGCTGAGTGGGGCAAACTGACTCAACCTAAAGAGTCAGGGGGGTTGGGTTTCTTGGATTTGAAAGCCTTCAATGAAGCTTTACTTGTAAAGCAACTTTGGAGACTTATAGCTATGCCGAATTTGTTGGTTAGTAGGGTGATGAAGGGTAGATATTTCTGGAATAGGAATCTTATGGACACTCAAGCTAGGAATTCTGATTCTTGGTTGTGGAAAAGCTGGTTGAAGGCCACAGAGTCTCTGAGATTAGGTGCTAGGTTTGAGGTAGGAGATGGTGTGGCTATTAAAGTATGGGATGACCCCTGGATCCCAACTTATGCTCCTTTTAAATCGGTTTGTTGCTTTAGTGGGGATAGGTCTAGAATTTCCTTTGTTAGTGACTTGATTCAAGAGGGGACTATGAGAAGGTGGGATAAAGAGCTTATATTTCAGACTTTTGCACCTCAAGTTGTTAACATTATTATCCAAATCCCCTTGGGCCCTCTAGGAAAAAAAGATAAATTGATTTGGAATAGCAGTAAGAGGGGTGTCTTTTCTACAAAGGAGGCCTACAAAACAATCAAAGCTAACCAAGAGCTCACAAAAGGTCATGCCAGTTCAAGTCATAATGGTGCAGTGATGAAGAGAATGTGGAAGAGGTCATGGAAGCTGCCTATTAAAAGGAAAATCCACAACTTCCTCTGGAGATGTTGGTTTGGATACATGGCATCCAAACTGCAGCTCAATAAAAGAGGAATGGACATGGATACTATATGTCAGGTATGTGGGCAGAATGATGAATCACTTAACCACATATTCTTTGCTTGTGAGAAAGCTAAAATGTGTTGGAAGATTAGTGGTATTGAATGGAACGAGGGAGGTGAAGAAGGGTTGGATTTCAAGTTGTGGTGGTATTCTGTGAACCTTTCTGGAAAGGCTGCTTGTATGGAAGAGAGAATCTGCTTATATCCTTTGGCACCTTTGGAAAGCCAGAAACAAATGGCTTTTTAAAGGTGACTGGATCCATGAAAAAGATATTGTAGATAATGCAAGGGTGGAATGGTCAAATAGAATTGATCTAGGCAGGTTTTGGGATGGGAAGCAGTGCATGGAAATTATACCAAAGGCAAATAAATTTTCCAAGAGGGTAGGTCAGTCCTTTGTTACTGTCAGTGCTCTACTTACTGCTGAAGGTACTATCTCAGTGCATTGTATGGCAATTGCAAAGAACATGGAGGAAATGTGCTGGCAGGATTCTAGTTTGAGTGCTGCAAACCAGGTAGAAGCGAATTATTTGGCTATCAGATGGTGTCTGCAGAAAGCTAAGGCCTTGGGGTGGAAATCTTTTGTCTGCAACATCAATGATGAAGATGTCACAGCAACTCTGAACAGAAGACTTGTTAGCAATTGTGTTCATGTTAATGTAATGCAGGAGATATTTGCGCTATGTATTGATTGTAATGTTAGGTATTTTATGTTTGTCATTTGAACTTTTGTTGGATTTTAGGCTTTGTCTAGCCTTTGAGAGGTGCTCTTGCTTTACCCACGCTCTGGTTTCTTATGTCTTAGAAGGTCTGGTGTACTCACAATCAGTTGGTTGTACGGCTACTTTGGTTTGAGTTTTAATGTATTAAGTTTATCGNGGAAAAAAAAAAAAAAAGTAGGTCCTAGAAGTGGATGTATTAAACTGTTTATTCCTTTATGAATCTGCTGTTGATGCCATCGAGTCAACCCATTAGGTTGGGTTTACTCAATTTATCCTGTTTTATGGCTTATCGATTTTAAGATTTTGCAGTAGCCTCTTTAATTTTATTTTATGGCTTATCAATTTTAAGATTTTGCAGTAGCTTCTTTAATTTTATTTTAGTAATAGTCATTGAAATTATATTCAGAGTTTAGACAACACTCATCTTTGCATCATTATTAATAGATTGCATCTCCTTTCAAAGCAAGAATATAAGATGCTACTCATTGATTAAAATTTAAAGTGCTGCAAATAAGTATGAATTATCCATACATAATGTTTGACTTTTTCCATTATATACATATCATTAATGCCATCTGCAATATGGTAACAAACTTAGTATCAGACCAGAAACAATTCAATATAAAGTATATATATACCTTTCTTGACTTATGTTTTTGAAGATTTTATCATGTCGATTTTTGTGAAGTTCCTCCTCTGCCGCCAGCTTTTTCGGGACTCGTCCTTGTGCGTCCTCCTCCTCTTAGCGTCCCTCCAATTGGTCGTCGATTTCGTGAAATTCTTACATAGAACACACGACTGTAGATTATGCTCGTTGGACTACGTCCATGATGATAATCGCCTCCATCTCTCCATTCCCATTGGCAATGGGTACAAGAATCTGGCAAAGAAGAGTAATCAGAACAATCATAGATGCTTTTGGATGTTGTTGCTTCAGATATGTAGTGCACTCACTGGGCCATATGAATTGTTGAAGTATACTTCCCTTGAACTTTCAAACCAGGTCCTAATTTATCATGTGATTGTCGAATTTGCAACCAAAGGCTTGATTTATTATGTGATTCTCTTTCAGCTTCAATAAAAGTTCTTGATGTAGGCTTGTTTTTAATATCTATTGTTTTGTTGGTTATTAGATGCATTATAAGCATGTTATGTGTTGTTTCTCACTCCAAGTTTGAAGATTATAAGTGCCATCCATGAGATTAGCGCGCGCATAATGCAAAATTGACCATCCCCATATAACATGAGAATGTATCTAGTAGCAGTACATAATATTAAAATAAAATATAAATTATTCGGCTCGGGCTCGAGTCTGGGCCTGGTCCTGGGCCTGGGCCTGGGACTTGGGAATTAGGTCTTGGGCCTTGGTCCTTAGTACTTGGCAATTGGAATGTGGACTGTACTTGGGTGGCATTGGACAGTTGGGCTTGGTGCAGGGCTTGGGCATTGGGCCCAACCACTATATATCTTTTTGGTGCAAATTTATTTGCAATTCTGAAGCCCAAGGTAAAATCCAAACCGAGTTGGGTTTGAACTCGAGTTTTGACCCAACCCATGTGAAACCTTTTAGGAACACTAAACCTGGACATGTAACCTTTCATTTGTCCACCACTTGACCGTTTCAGTTGTTACTAGGTGGAATGAAGGCGAGTTAACACCTAAGAAATTGTCCAGTTACAACAACCATAAGTGAACTGTTACAAGCTGAAGAGTAATCTTCTACCTGGCTAGAAGTCCTATAAATAGGACAATGTAGAAGTTGCAGAAGACGCAACACATACAACTGCACATCATTCTATACTGAAAGTCTCACGCATCATATACATTGCTCAGTATTTGGCGTTGTTTTTGTTCGCCGGAACTCTGAAGACTAGTGTGCTATAACTTTCGAGTGAATAGTCGTTCTCTCTTTTGGGACATTACATACAGACCCGTCAGCACTACACGGGGCGTATTTGTCTTACGAAAAGGGTTTGCTCGCCTCAACTTCCATCTTTCCACTAATAAGTTGTAATTTATTTTATTATATTTTAGTTCATATTGTACGAACTGAACTCTTCAATCAGTTCATAGGTTTTGTTTAATGAGCACAAAATTTGTAACATGTTTTTGACTACGTTCAACCGTAGGCAGCTTGACAAAAAATTTATGGTATCCATCAGTATGTTCAACTAAATGGTCTTTTTTCCGTTTATTTAGTTGGATTGCTAGAAATATATTCCACCATTATTAGGCATTCCACACATCTTTCGGTTATGCTCTAATTCCGAATTTTGGTGTAAGAATTAATTTATCCTTTGGTAAAATATTTTTTGTCACGTTCACTACATTTGTTTTTTGACTTTGCAACCTATAACAACTTTCTAATAAAATAAAACTTGGATTTCAGCAATATTCATAACTTGTTACTTGTCATACATTTTAACCATACAAACGTGCATTTTTTTTCAAATGATTGTATGGTCAAAATATCATGTTATAAATTATGAATATTCATGAAGTTGAAATTGCATTTTATTAAAAAAAAATAGTATAAGTATCAAAGTCCAAAAATATGTATGTTACAGTTGCAGCCACCCTTTATTTCTTAATATAAATTGCGGATTTACATAATTAAAACTTGTTAGGCATATAAAATATAAATTAATTGCTTCAAATCAAAACTAGACTCTACAACAGAGTTATATAAAAAAAAATTCAAACGTGCCACTCTACTAGCGAATAATCTAAAGTCAGTTTAATTTTCTAATTTATCTTTCTTATATATGCGTAAAATTTTTAAAATTGTTAATATTTGCATCAATATTAATGCAAATTAGCACATTGTTTTTGTCTAGTATTTTCATATGTTTTTTCTTAGTACTTTTCAACTCTTCAATGAGTGCTGAATGTTTCATCGAACTCATAACACAAAACGGAAAGTACATCTCTATTTCTCTCCGAATGGATTGATTGATAATTAAAACCACAAACATTTGAAAGTATTTGTCATACGTCCCACTCTTTCATACTTGATATCGGGATTCGGGGTTAACTGAAACAAAAAATAGAAAAAAAAAATCCAGAGCTCAGTCTAACTATGAAAAATACACAATTTTTAGTTAAAATTATATCTGTTTCATGATACCGTTCAAGCAATTTTGAAGGCTTTACGCAAAATTTTGCATGGGGTTTCAAAATAAAATTAAAACGAGTATAGACAAATTGAAAATTTTCTAATAAAGTAAACATAAGTGTTACAACTTACAACTGACTTTACAGTTTTAGTATCAGGAATATAACCAAGAAAATGAGATGAAAGAATATTGGTATTTTCAATTTTAACCAAAACAAAGTTATTATGAAACTGGGGTCCATTATCCTTGTGTAATTTGTCGAGGTCATAAGATTTTATAGATAACATACATATTATATATATATCAAATAAAAGTCCAAAAAATTTTATATATACACCTTTTTCATTTTTTTCATTTTTCATTTTAATTTTATATAAATATATGGCTAGCTACCATTTTAACAACAACCGGGGTGTAAGTCGAGTCGAGCTCGAGCTCATGTTGCTCGAGCTCGAGCCGTTAATGAGTCGGGCTTAGTTCGGCTCGTTAACTTAACGAGCTTATAATCGAGCTCTACTCGTTTATCAATATTAATGTGCCAAGTTTGAACCTTAAAAGAGTCAAAATCGAGCCAAACTATATAAAACTACGTAAAAATCATTTTTTCGAGCCTTAACGAATCTTATCAAGCCGATTCGAGCTTGACTCTTTAATTGAACAAGTTTTAAATGTGCTCGAACTCGACTTGTTTGTCAAATGAGCCAAGCCGAGCCGAGCTCACGAGTGTCTTGTTTAATTCAACAACTCTCTACAGCCAAAGATAATATCCTTGAATTAACACAAGTCAAAAAAATATATACACATATGTATAGGATAGTATACAAGAACAAAAGATTGCGACGTAAATAAGAATATATAAAACACAACAATTAGATTTGACAACCTAACCTTAAAATATAGTCACCATTTGAATTAATCATGGAAAAATGTACCTATTATATTGTAAGTACTGATCATGACATATAAATTTTATCAGTCAACCCAGAAATAGCTGCCCGATCAGAGTCCGTCAATGAGGATGTTGGCCTGCCATGTACAGAGCCGAAGGTACTAAGTGCAGCCCCGTTCGCGAAGGCGGCGTTGACAAGGCCGATAGCGGCTGGTCTGTCACCGCGTTCGCCATGACCAGCTCGTCCCCCGGTGTTGTAGCAAATTATTTTATTTTTTTACCGAGTACCGAATCGAAGGATTCGTTTCCCGGGTCGATCTCTCGAGGAAGACGGTTCGGAATTTAGCGTTGGTCTTGATCACACACGAAAAGAAAATAAGTCCTAAACACTCTAATCACGATTGATTTGGGGAATCAACTAAAACAAGCTAGAACTAAAAAACAATTTAAAGAAATAACAATTAAATTTTTAGAGAAAAAGAAGAAGTTCTAGGGGTCGGGAAATCTCATCAAGTCTTAAACTATGTTGAACGCTTATTTGTTCGGTTACGAGATTAAACAAGCCTACACGTCTAGAGGGTTATGCTCAATAAATCTTCGTAACAAGAGCACAAACATAAACGATAAATTCATTCAAACAAGCAACACATAGACAATACTTTTACGAACATGTCTACTCTATACGAGCCTAAATCGACCAACGTCTCCCCTCTCGGTTCTAAACGTCGATTAACTAGGTTAGAATGGTGATCAATCAACTACCCATATAATTCACACAACTCGTATAGATTGAACAAAACACATTCCTCATAATTCAAAACAAGAATCAAAATCCTTAACCCTAGGTGAATGGATTACCTCATGCTTAGATTCAATTTCATGTTAACCGGAATTAAGAACATAAAACCAATCAACAATAATAAAATAGAATTGAAAAACTTACAATCGGATTAAGA